TGGGGATTTGGGGCATTCCCTGAGTGAGGAAACAGAAACTCAAAGTCCTGCCACAGGTTTTCATGTTGTCTCCACAACTCTACCGTGTGTGAGTGTGCATGTATATGTACACCTGTACTTTTACCTTTGTGAGGACCATAGACCTTACAGAGTGAGGACATTTTGGGGAAGTGAGAACACTTTTTCAGTCGACAGTTTGAGGGTTAGATTTAGAATTAGGTTTAAGTTAGGGTTAGATATTCAATTGTTATGCATTTAATTGTGGTTAAGTTTAAGGGTAAGGGGCTAGAGAATGTATTACTCCAATGAGTGTCCTCACTAAGATAGGAGTACAAGAATGTGTGGGTGTGTGAGAGCACACTGATGACTGTGCTCTGATGTGAATAAATGTATGACTAGCCTCCTGTATACCAGTTTGTGTTGCCGACTGTTAAAATTACATTTTTGTCAAGTGAGGTCACTTTGAACAGATAGTCAATACTGAAGTTCGGAATACTTGCTATCTAAAATCTACACAACTTTGTGTGTGCGTGTGTGTGTGTGTGTGTGTGTGTGTGTGTGTGTGTGTGTACGAGCGCACACGTTGCTAAGGGACAAGCCATTCATAAACAAGGCAAAAAAATATTTATACAGGCTTTTTCCTCTACAGGGATGAACCCAGCCCCGTCAGTCTACCAAAACACATTCTGCTGTTTTTCTGCTGTAGATGTACTTATTAAGTTGTGCAACTAATTATCCTCCACAAGCACAATGGCATCGCCATTACTTGTAGCTTTTCATTTTTATTCCTTTACCAGCTTAAAACATATGCTATTAATCTAATGCTTATAATTACAAAAAACCCTCCAAAAACTTTTTATATTGTATTTTTTATATAAATTCTCTATACTATAAAGATAGAATTATATATATTATAAGTCTGGACAGACATGCATGTAAACTGCAGACTGGTTGGCAGAGGCACACAACAGTGAAGTTTCTTGGAGGTCATCCCCTTCTGTTTGTGGCCATCGTCCTCTCCTTGGTGACAGCGTGATATATGAGTCAAAGAAGACGGCAGCGTCACAGGAAGAGACTGTTTGTATTGGTGTCCAGAAAAGGGAAATCGTTTCTATTAAATACACTTTGATGATGATTTCATCATTTCAACTGTGCAACTGTTTTTTCCTCACTTGTTCTTAGATCTGCCATCTGCCTTTCAGAAGAACTCATCTCCAGAGTCAGTCTCCTCATAAATACCTGGATATTTTCAACATTTTTGTTACCTCATTGATGATGTGATTTCCTCACTATTAATCATCCCTGAATGTTGTTGAAGTAACGTATTGTTATTGTAGGTGTTATGTTGTTGATTCAATTTTAACTGAAAGTACTTGTCATTACAATCTCTACTATGTACAGTGTAGTATAAATGTGAAGGAAGTTACAAATTGCAGCTTTAATTGCTTTTTGTTATAATCCACAAGTAGTTTTAGTTTTTTTTTCTTGTGTTCCTCTTCCCCCGAGCTTGCTCGCGTCCTCGCAGCCCAGACAGTGTCCTAAAGCTGAAGCTGTGTCCACCACTTCCCTTCTTCCCCACCTCGTCTTCACAGTCTGACTGTTCGATAAAGGCAGCCGTGGAGAATATCATGACCAGTGGAAACAGCTCCTCTCCAACTTCTCTCCACTACCTCATTACAAACTCTTTGACAGTCACTTGGGGTCTCAGGCTCCCTCACCAACTGCTTTGGAGTCTATTTCCGGAGGGCCAGATGGATGCTTCATTATCCAACCACTGCCAGGGTTCCAGTCATTCAAATAATAAAAACTTGAAGATGGATGTCCTGCAAATAAATGGTGGGGCAAGTGGCTCAGTGAGCAACTGGATGTCATTCATGGACCCTCCAAAGTCAAGAAGACTCAGCTCAGAGAAGGAGGAGAGGAAGGATTCTCCTTTCACTGTGGACGTCCCAGAGCACAACAGACCTCCTTCTTCACCTGGCAGAGTACAGACCATGGCCAGAAACTTCTCCCGTCAGGGCCGCTCTTACTCGGACAATGAAGAAAGCTCTGAGGCTCTACTGGAAAGACAGTCTTTATTCAGACAGCAGTGAGAAAAAAAAAACAGCGATTCTCTCAGGAGACATTGCATGCTGGGCCACAACTAAGACCTGTTCTCCGGTTTGGGCAAAAGAACAAAGCTCCTGGATAGAGTTCGACCTCACCATTCAGGCTACCAGCCAATGGAAAGTCAGCTGACTAATAACAGCACCCTGGTCTCACAGCTAGACAGTGGGCTGGAGAGGGGTACCATTAATAAGTGTGTCCAAAGAACTGAAACTGTATTGCGTGTTTAGAAAACAAACTAAAACAAACTGAAATTATAAATATAATTCCCTTCGTTTTTTGTCTCTGTCAATTTAATTATAAACCTCAATTGGTTGGATTCATATGATCGATTTATTTATTTCACACTGGCAGTTTTATACCAGCTGGCAGCAGCAGCACCAGCACCTTACTGCACCTTAGAGCCCTGCGTGGGACTGTTTTCTTCATCTCGCTCTTGCCCGTTCCTGCCCGCTCCTGCAATGTGTATGTCCACTCCCACCCGCACCCGCAAAACTCTGAGAATTTATGCCCGCACAATAATAGAGATGCATTGATTTTGCGTCTTCTCCCGTCCCGCAGTAGAAAACACATCATTTTATAGGCTATTAATAAAGAGATTCATGGGGTAGTTTGTTTCGTTTCCCTGGCCTGCATGTCTTTTGACGCACTCGTCAGGAATAGCGCTCCTTGAAAAGCAGCAGGAGATCAATGTGTCATTGACAAATCAGCCTGATCACATGACAGACAGTCTGTTGACTAAAACGAAGAGGTATGTCGACAGCGTTAAAGAGGGTGTGTGCAATGACCCACCATTGCAATTCTGGAGATCAAGGGAGGCTATCTATCCAAAACTTGCCCCGTGGCAATGGATCTCGTTAGTGCCCCTGCCTCACAAGCCTTTGTGGAGCACATCTTTTCTGTGTGTGGACTGTTATCACCTGGCTTGAGAAACAGAACAACCACATCTCGAGAGCAGTGTGTTTTCCTCAAGATCAACAAGAAATTGTTGCTTGACTGAAGTTCACTCATCTCTCTCAAACACACAGACACACACACTACACCGACACCTGTTTCTCTGAATTCATTATGGAATAAGCTGCAGTTATTTCCTCGTGCTGTGCTGTCGTTTCAGCCACTTCCATCATTCAGATCTTTCACACCTTGTTGTTTGGATGTTCAGTGAACATCTTTGTTGGTTATTTTTGAAAACAAAATGTGTGGTTACAAATTGTGTCTCAGACTGACACACACACACTTTCCTTTTGTAATATATGCACTTGTCACTCACCCTCATTTTTTGAACTTATCTTTTGTTTAATTTTATTATACAATACTCACTCTGACCTTTTTGAATCCTGCACCTGACAAATAACCTAAAGTATGAAAAAACTAAAACTAAGCATTTTTGAAAATATAAAAATTAGCAAACACACACTAGTTATGCCAGTCAGAGCAGTGGTATAGGCAGTGCTGGTTCCAACATTCCCTGTCCATCACTCCTACACTGCTCAGCTCCCCTTAGACGATGGAGGAGAGTGAGCGGCACAGAGCTGAGATGGATCTGCCAGAGAGGGGGAAAAGGTGAAACGTCGCCGCCATACATGGACAATAACAACCAACACACTGGAGTGTCTTCTCGGCAGAGGGATTCATTTGTGTTTTCAAATTAACATAGTTCAGTGGTTTTTGTGTCTTCTTTGTCATGACTGTTTTTTGACCTCTTTATTTTGTCTATCTCATGAGAAGGAACACATCAGTAGATGAAAGTTATAAATGGGACTATGCTGATGCCTGCGTGGACTCGGAGGTCCTGGACGCCATGAGGTTTCATCAGTCACAAATAAGCTCACGGAGAGGGAGAGGCGAGCTCAGATATGATCAAGCAGGTGGCATCCATTTTTTTTTTAACATGTATTTGATGTTGCATGTCTCACTGTGAGAGTAACACTGCTGCATGTGCTGAAGTTCTGAGGCAGGCTCTTGCGTCTTTGATGAAAGTACAGGTGGACTTCAATGATAAGCCAACAGTGGCTGTGTGTCAAAGTGCTGGTGTATTACTATCAGAGTTAGTTCACATCAGTTCTATAAAAGCAAAAAAAATAAAAGACAGTTGAATTTTCAATTTTCTTCAGTGGTGTGGCAAACCAATCAGCAGGCTGGTGCACTGGAAGTATGATATCAGTGAGTAATAAAAAACTATACACATGTTAAAGCCTTTTTCCAACAGAAAACACCCAAACTACTACCAGTGCCACAGCAAACTGCAAATGATAATAACCACAAATCAACAGGTGAACTCCCACTACACCAGCTGCTCCTGTGACTGGAGGCCAGCTGCAGCACTAAAAACAATCAAACTGTAAATTAACACTATGCTTAATATATTAAAATTCAGAAAGTAAATCTATATTAAATAAACAATATTAAATAAACAGCAACCAGCACTTTGCCTGTGAAATAAACACGGCACATGATATTTTTCAGTCACCACCTAACACAGCTTAAAAGTAAAAGACATTCTAATACCTCACCACTGCCACTACTCCTGGACTGTTATAAGCCTTTTACAAAATATAATGTAATATAACAATAAATTATCTTATAATATATTGACATTAAAAAATACCTAAGGGTGCATTTGCAACCTTACATTACCCCAACAATCCCACATTTAATTATTAAAAAACAAGGAAGCTGGAATGAACGCCTGTGCTTGTGTGTGCACAGGCCTCTTAACTGAATTGCTCTTACCTTAACTTGCCAAATTGGGCTTGGGTCCTAGTGTTCTAGTGTTCACCTACTACAATCATTAATTATATTGTTAGATCTATATAAGTTTCCATAGTCCGATAAGATGCAGAGAAGCCTTGTAAAATGCAGTTTTGTAACTATGCCTAAAATACATTTCCCCGTCTTCATGTTGAGTGCAGGGTCAGTCGAACCAGGGGTGCTCCCGGATTTGGTAAAGACTAGGTCGCTCACACGGATCTATAGCCAGACACCTCTTTAACAGGTCCTGGCAGTCTGAGAATAGAGAACAGACGACAAAGAAACGATGAGTCTGGATTATACAGCGATGGTCAGGATCACAATAGCAGCACAGGATTACTCAGGTGCTGTACCGACACCAGCATTACCTTGGGACCACACTGTCAAGATTTCAATGTCCTTCCTGAGGAAGCCTTTTGTGGAGAACCCCCTGTTTTCACTCAGCATTTTGAAGAGCATTGCCCCCAACTGCCAGACTGTGGTAGGGAGGCCCATGTATTCTTTACGGAGGAAAACCTCTGGAGGAAGATAATCAGGAGTTCCTACAATATGGAAGATAGAAGGAGACAGAGAAAAACCCAAAGGATGGTGAATTTACCATCACTCCAGAGATTAACAGATGAACATTAAGCAGGACTAGAAGCCAGGAAACAGTCGTACCACAAATAGCGGTATAACGTATGTTTCTTAAAAAGCAGCCACAACCAAAGTCAATAACCCGCACTCGAAGGCCGTCTGGGCCAAATTCAATTAAGATGTTCCCTGGTTTTAAATCTCGGTGAAAGACGTTTTTTGCGTGCAAATCAATGGCTGCCTCCACCAGCTGCTTCATGATGACCTGAAACAGAGATAAAGGAACACGTGAGTTAGAGAGGTGCGGAAGGGACTCTGAGGTGGCACTGTCCAAAAAGGTTTATGCAGTAGCTGCTCTAGGTACTTTGACCAGAGCCTAGGTGTTGTGACATTGTCGTTCAAATTTCCATTTTGTCCAAAGGCCTTTCTTCACTCTGGGAGAGCAATTAAACAACAACCTAAGCTAAAGGTCTATAGTGGCTGTTGAGGATATCATGTGAGCTCTAGAACAATGATAAAAAGGAATTTTCTGTTGAATTTGTTTTCTTAATCTTTGAACCAAGAATAAATCCAGAGTTACAAGCTAAGAGCGTGAAACCCAAATAGTTAAAAATTCTACTAAATGTGGTTGGAACCGAATGAAATGCGGTTGTGATAGCAGTCTAAAACTCTACCCTGAATCGGATGACATTTTCAGAAGTAAACTGGGAAACAGCTCACACACAAGAAACATGCTTCATCAACTTCAGTACCTTTGCCTTCATCTCTTTCAGGGGATCAATGCGCAGTGCACAGTATTTAATGAGGGTCACACAGGGGGATGGTCTCTCCATAACCATAACAACCTTTTTGCCCAGATGGTACCAGTCTAGTAAAGACACAGCTGCATATTTTCCCAAAGACTCTGGTCCACCTGCGGCCTTAAGCATGAGGATCACCTCCATGGGGTACCAGGATTGTGTCCCATTATACCTCTAAAGGAAAAAAGGTGTTTTCATCAACAACAAAGACACAAGAAAAACAAAAAAGGAAAAGAATGACTTAAACAGTTGGTAATGAGACATCAGGTCACTCACCAATAGAATTTGGCTCATTGATGAAGCACAGACGTATTTTATTGCCACCTACAGGACAGAACATGAGCACATTGGTTAGAGGGAGGGATGGCGACTGTGTGTGTTTGTAGCTACTTTCAGACATGCACTGAACTCAGAGGGGCTTTATGTGCGAATGTCAGAGTCAGAGTTTCTTCTGCCATCCCCCAAGTAAAGCCTCTTCGGATAATGTTCCTATAAGAAAAAACAGTTGCATTCACAGCTAGTGAGTGGGCGTGTTTATGACGTTTTTAATGACCCAAAGGAAAAATAACACAAAACAATATAATTATCTCAGGATAAAAAGGAGGAGCCATATGTAGAGGGAATGTATAAAAATGCCAACTTGGAAAGACGAGATTCAATAGCTTTTGGTGATATGGACACTTGTGTCGATGTGCTGTAAACAAACAGGTGATCTCTGCAGCAGAATTTATATAGTATGTCTTGCCCACCCCTCATCTGAATGCTCCAGAGCCTTTCCCATTGAACCCTGGACCCCATTGTGAAAACATTTGCCGGAGTTCATGTCTGAAAACATTGTATGTGTGATACTTACTGGTAATTCATCCGATCTTCTTGTACCAGCATATACGTCTCCAAAGCTGCCTTTCCCAATCCTGTGCAGCTGCATGTACTCTGCCTTAAAGTGATCTAAAGAGAAAAACACAAACTATGGCTCTGAAAAAGATTCATGACATAACTACCTCTAACTTAAAATGTTTAAATTCCCCAGGACTGACATTTTAATACATTAACTCAACATTCACTTTTTGTATTCCCAAGGCTTTAAACCACCACATCTTAAGATTAGGAGTCTGCTCAAATGTGGCAAAAGTTCAGTTGAGAAATACCTAAGTAAAATCCATCCACTTGACAGGCGGCTGAAAGCTCTGAAATAATCTATGTTGACCCTTGAGTATTTATCGTAAATCTGGTTTTGTCTGTATAACACCAGGGTCAAACAAACTGATATGATGTGGTTTTAATTGGGGGCCAAGTGTTGGACTAGTTTATGCCCAAAGGCTATCACGTTGTTGTATAATGTGAATCATTGGCTTGGTAAATAAATAGTTTGGTATGCAAAAACCAACACCATGTTGTATTTACACATTACAAGTTTTGTGGTGGCGTCAATATTTTCATCTAATTCTAAGGAAGAGTCTTCCAACCCCCAAGAAATATCTCTCAACCACACTGATCCCTATTTAACTTGATATTATTACTTCCATGCAAACAGCAGCACAAACATGTCCTTTAAAGGCGGCTTGCCTATGTTGGTGTGGCCCATTAACGGAGTGAATTCACTTTGTTGGAATCCAGTGTTAATCTTGTTGCCGTTGTTTCCATCACTCTGCTTTTCATGGAGTGTCTCTTTTTCAGTGGCAGCCTCGTTGTTAGTGCCCTTCGACGTCTCATCGTCCAGTGGCTCCACATCAGTGGCACCTCTCCGTCTATTTCTGAGTGTCCTGATTTCAGTGGCAACCTTCTTGTTAGTGCCCTTCACTGTCACATTGTCCAGTGGCTCTACATCCCTAGCAACTCTTCGCCTTTTTCTGGGTGTCTCGATTTCAGTGGTGGCCTCCTTCTTAGTGCCCTTCACCGCCACATCATCCAATGGCTCCACATCACCGGCAACTCTCTGCCTTTTTCTGAGTGTCTTGATTTCAGTGGCAGCCTCCTTCTTAGTACACTTCACTGTATCATCGTCCAGTGGCTCCACCTCACCGGCACCTCTCCACATTTTCCTGAGTGCCTGGATTTCAGTGGCAGCCTCCTTGTTAGTGCCCTTCACCGCCACATCGTCCAGTGATACAACATCACTGGCAACTCTCTGACTTGGGGGCTTCGATTTTCTGCCAGCCTTCCTTTTGATGGAAATCATATTCACCTCTAGAAAGACACAAACCCATTTTTTAACTGCATGTAGTGGATTTTGAATACTATCACCATTTTCTGAACATGGCAACTACTGTTTGGTTAAGGTTCAGTGACAGTAAAATTATTCAATATGAATCTAGCTGCTAACCTACCATATACCAGCAAAAACATATTACCAGTCATTGTCAATAAATCAATAAATCTTTTTTTATAAAGCAAAAAAAGGCAAGTTGCTGCACTAAAATAAAATGTTTTGTATACAAAATACACAGAACTACAGACAAGAAGACTTGACACACAGCTGAAGAAGCAGCGGCAGCTGATAAACAGAATATCACACACTGACCTGTATCACGATTTTTCTGGTTGATCAATTCAGCTCAATGTGTAACAACACCAAGGGCAAAGAAAATGGCAATCCAAAATGTCTTCTTTGCTTGGTTTCTTGGTAACAGCAATGTGCATTATTTAAGCTGAGGGTAACTGTGGTCTGTCAACAGCATCAAAGAAAAAGGCAGCTTATTTTCTTTAAACCAAGAGATTTAATGATGCAGATTCAACTCCAGAATCCTTTGATATTCAAGGACATTGTTGCCCAGGTGACAAAGTGAACCACCAGATCCTTATTTCCTCCATTCAGGATCTGGGTGCTCTCTCTCTATTCTCATCCTACCTCAATGCCTGCACTTACCAGGTAATGTGGAGAGGATCTTTGTCAGAACCTTGTCCTCTCACTACTGGGGTCCCTCAAGGTTCTGTCCTGGGTACTCTCCTCTTCTTTGTACACCAACTGTCTCTGCGCTGTCACTCAATCACATGGCTTTTCCTACCACAGCTACGCAGATGGCATACAACTAATCCTCTCTTTTCCCCAATCCGAAACATAGGTAGCAGTACTGTCTGCACACCACCTGTAAGTTAAACATGGCAAGACCGAATTACTTTTACTTCCAGCCAGGGAAAGTCTCTCCCACCCATGACCTGTCTCTTACCATTGACAACTCTGTGGTAACCCCCACCCAGACTGCTAGGAACCTGGGTGTGACACTCGACAATCAGCTCTCTTACTGCCAACATTACTGCAAGAACCCACTTGTGTAGAAACATGCTGCACAACATCACTTCTCAATCAGAATGCAGCGAAGGTTCTGGTCCAGGCTCTGGTCATCTTACGCTTAGACTATTGCAACTCTCTCCTGGTTGGTCTACCTGCAAGTGCTATCCGACCTCTGCAGCTCATTCAGAATGCAGCAGCTTTACTGGTCTTTAACCCACCAAAATTCACTCACACTACTCTGCTCCTCCACTCCTTTCGGTCTTTGAGGTAGGATGAAAATAGGGAGAGAGCATAGCCTGATACACTCAGATCCTAAATGGAGGAAATAAGGGTCTGGGGTCTCATTTAGAAGTGCACATGTGCAAAAAAGCCCAAAAAGGCGTACGCAAATTAAAATCTGATTTATAAAACTAAAATGTTCTGTAAGTTGTTATATATCTTTTTCAATCAAAGGTTCTGATGGAACAGTTTTGTACAACTAACACTGTTGGTTTCAATGTTAATGCTGAAGTGGATCATTAATTTGGCTTTAGTTCACCTCCTCATGTCTGCATAGTCATAGTCATGGTTGAGAATAAGCGTGAAAGTGCACATATTTTCCCGTCAAGTTTGTTTGTTGATTAAAGATAGCACGCTCGAGTGCTTTGGAGAGAAAAGTAAGAAGAAAAACAGGTCTGTAGTTGTTTACTTCAGACGGGTTGAGATCGGGGTTCTTCAGGAGAGGGTTCACTCCTGCCTCCTTAAGAGAGTTAGTGAAACAGTCAGTTGACAGGGAAGTGTTAATAAGATGGGTGAGGAAAGGAAGAAGGTCGGGAACAATAGACTGAAGAATGTGAGAAGAGATGGGTCAAGGGGGCAGGTGGTTCGGCGGGCTGGAGTACCCTGCCACCCCTCCGAACGAGGATTCTATTTGGTAACATTCTTGGTTTGAGGCAATAATGCTAACCACCATATTAATGTAAGCCTTGTCACATATGAATAGCCTACAATTTAGCACAAAAAATAGTCAAAAGAAGAAAACATTATGTCAAGAATGTGTAACCAAATACATCAAATCATCCTTTTTAGTTCAATAATTTATATTCTTCATTACACAATATCGGTTTAACCCTGTCAAATATGATTTTCATAAATGAATAATAAGTCAATGTTTCTCTTAGAGGTACAGTTTGTAGAATTTAGTGATACCAAGTGTTGAAGTTGAACACCCCTCTCCTCACGGTCCTTATTTTTTTACTATAAAATAATCAATTAAACACAACTAGACATTTGCTCTTTAACTCAAGCTTTTATATCGTTGCAGGTAAGAAGTCATCACAGTGCAGTCATGTATGTTGTATATCAACACCAACTTCTTCTATTGATTTCTCAGGGTCATTGTCTCAGCTCACTTGGTTGACCTACGCATGACATGTTTGACCATATTTCCAATACCATCAAATATATAGTTATAGTGATACTATTGTAATTCCCACAAGAAGGATTGGGTTACTACATTCATGTTACTGACTCTAACACTTTTTCTTCTGCACCCGCTCTTCGTCTTGTGTTTGAGAACAGTGTGACACACATGATCTCTCACATGGTCCATCGTCTTACAGGAGAAAGATATTTTTCACACAGTTTAAAAACACACAAGCTTTCTGATCTAAGCTGAAGAAAAGAAAAGCTCCAACTTGAATTTCTTCCCTCACAGTATTTCAGCTATTTAGCACAGACTTTTCATTTTCAGATTTGCCCTTTTTTCCTGAACGTTTTATAAATGTTCTATATAGTTTTGATAACTTAAAATGCAAATGCAAATTCCGATGTGTAAACAGAAGGATGTTTATTTCACATGAATATGTCATGACTATTGATGTAATAGTCTTTTTTAGGAGTGGAATAAAATAAAAAACTGGTAAACTACAAAGCTTGGCATGTCAACATCTGAGGAAGTTATGGGAAATTACTAAAACATGTATTCATTACTCAGGTAGGAGGATGCTAATAAGAGTTGTCTATTTAACCATTTCTGCACAGTAGGAGGTTCCCAACTACTTCTGTTGAATCTCTAATGTCTTTTATTTAACCATGCTGTTTTGTTTGTGAAATAAACAGTAATTGTAATGTGGATGATCATGGTGGGTAATTGTCTGGGATTTTTTTCAGTGTCTCCTAGTTGAGAATAACGATTAAAAAATAAAATTTATGTCTATTATCTGCACTGAGCTGCTAATCATTAACAAACTGAATAAATCACAGATTTGTCTTCAGTCAAAACAAGAGTATGATACTTATGTAAAGCGTCCTTGGGTCCTGTGAAAGGCGCTATATAAATTCAAGCCATTATTCTTAGAATTATTCTTATGATGACAGGAAACTGGTAGGTCCCTTATGAGAGCTTAAATATTCAGATATATAATTATTTATACATTGAGCCTCACCTAGTGATTGTATTGATATTTTTATTCCTGTTATTTTTTACAGTTTCACATCAATGTGACATGGAAACATTTTGAAAGACAAACTTAATAGAAACAAGACTGACCAACAGCTGGCAGTGAGGGAAAAAACAAAAGAAAAAATGTCTTAGGCCCACAAGGAGTTATAAAATGGAAATGTGTTGCACACATGAGGAGCACAGCTGCAGACCATCCTTTGGTGATACTATTTCCTTTGATATCCCTTACTCACTCGGATTTAACACTGATATTCTGGAATCACACCAAGCAGTCCAGATGATCCACGTTGGTGGACATCACACCGACGTGGCCCTTCACTTTCATACTTGGTTCCCCTCTTGCTCTGACAGACACTGAAGATATAAAAACTAGAAAGAGACGTCGTAGGGTTTTATTTGAGTCGCCTGATGCATTAAAACTATTTGAGTGTACTTTATGATAAATATTAACTAATGCATAATGTATTGTTTAATTATATGATGGAACACTGTAATAATATCTATGATAATAATGTAAAATCTTGTGGCACCCTTGGCTGATCCTCAAAGATGAGGACCACTAAGACAGAGTGGAATTGGTGCAAATAGTGAACTATTGCATTTGACACAAAAGCTATTCACAGCTATGCTCCAACTAAAGCAATCTGCACTGAAGTAAAGAGCAATGGGTGATGGCTACCATGTACAGGATGTATATATGTATTAAAACTTCATTAAAAAGTCCTTCCCTTCTGTTGATAAAATCCCTTTATACATCTTCAAGTAGCCTTTAATTTGAAATGCAGCACCAACAACCAGCAACATCACATGCAAAAATTCACCTTTACCATAAGTCAGACTGCTGTAAATAACCATGCAAAAAACTCAGTACCACACAGCAATAATACAAATTGTAATTAACAGATAGAAATAACAAACTACAAGAAAGTATCTGATCTCTGACTTCAATCATATAAACACTGCAGGAAGCCTTTGAAAGCAACAAACTCTTCCCTCTCCCTCTTGCCGTGTGAAGGCCAATCAAAACAAGTTATGTCATCATCCTTAACTCAAACATCATCACTGGGTTTATGGTGAAAGCTCTGGCTAACATTTTATAATCATGTTTTAGTCATGCTAGCAGCTCTGTGAAGACAGTGTTAGGCGTAATGAAGGCATAGTTAAAATGGCCAAGTACTATTTTTGGTGAGTTGCCACATTTACAGTACATAAATGAAATGGTGCCACTATAAGGTGCAGCAGGAGTTCACAGTTTTATTTGCAGCTCTACTAATTTACCATCTGTATTGGCGTCATTACTCTAGAAGTGGACGTGCTGTAGGACTCTAATCATTTGCTATAGTGATACAAATCGCTTCCAGTGATATCCATACCTACCAATTCCACAAATGTCTGTCTCTCTATCTGTATGTGGAACACATACCTCATGAAAACTTCATCTAATCGGCCTGGTTTTGGACTCACGATATTCATTATTACTAATACTTGAATTAACAGCCAACCAGCACTCTGTAGCAGCTGATTGTGACCCAGGCTTTGGTGTATGTTAGCCTGTTATCTTTTTATCAAGTGAATATTACTCCTGATTCCTTTTTGTTTTTGTCGACTGGTTATTTTTATGTTGTCAATCAATCAATCAAATGTATTTATACAGCACGGTATCACAACAAACAATTGTCTCAGGGTGCTGCACAAAAGTTCTTAAAAAAGACAAAATCCAATTTGTTCCACACCGAGCAAGCATGAGCAACAGTGTGGAGGAAAAGCTCCCAGGTGGAAGAAACCTCTGGCAGAACCGGGCTCAGTGTGGACGGCCTCTGCCAGGACCAGTTGGGGTGAGTGGAGAAAAAACATAGGGGAACAAAAGGAAATAAAGGGGGGGGTGGAGTCATAGTCTCAGGTCATGGGCTTGAATCCAGCCTGGGAATCTCCACGTGGATGTTGGCATGGTCTTCCAAGGGCGCATTGGTGCCCCCAGGCACTTCTGCCTCCCTCATAGTCCAACATGTGCAGTAGGTGGACCCATGGCTCCAAAGGTGAGAGGTCCTCAGATGTTGTGTTATGTTAAAGTACACATGTAGAATCAGCATTATTATTCTTATTTGGTAAGATCATAAATGATGCCTTCTAGCCTTTAGCTTATGGGTACCTTATATCCTCCTTGCGGACGGAAAGGTGCTCAACACAAAATACGGAGGTCCCATATATTTAAATACTGAGGCTCTTTCACAGTTGTGTATACACACATTATGGAACCGATTGTTTGTGGTACTACACTTATTAGTGCCAGTGCCTTACATAGCAAAAAAACCAATCTGGTACTATCTGCAAAAGTTTGATATCTCTTATAACACTTCACTTGGTACTATTATTTCCTATGTAGAACTTTGCATGTATGCAAAACAGCATATCATTAATACTGCTCTTACTGTCCCTACATAAGATTTAAGTTTGATGTGTCTCTTGTTTGGACATTTACTTGAGAGGATAACTGATCCCACAGTAAATGCGAGAAAGTAAATCTGAAGCAACAAGTCATGTCAGTCCAAGATTCATTACTCAATTATTTCTCTGTGA